TCAATAATACTTCTGGCTGCAGTTCAATTACTCACTATCTACACAGACAATACCTCAATCATCTCGCGTCACGTTGTCCCCTCTTATATATACCAAACTACCCTATATCTAGCAAATACTAGAGCATTCGCCAAGATACGGGATAGTTCTAGAAACGTGGCGTCACTGTAGTCATGTGATCTCGATGACGCAACACAGTCTTTTCCGACTTATAATATTTATGCGTTCATGTCATAAAGATGTGTTTAGATTTGGAATTTAAAATTTCCAAGATATGAACATCCCTTATATTTAATGACATTTAAAGAGCTCTGTAACAATTCGTAACCCAGCCGCAGTCTTTTAACAGGTGAGAATCCATAAACTCGACAATTAGTGGCGTCCACGTGACATCATAAAGAATGATAAAATACAACTGGAATTTCTTCTATGACATAACCATTCAACTGCTGCATACCTCAAGCAGCTGGAAAATGAAACGAATATTCATGTTATTCCATACAAAAAACGTACCGGTCACTTCTGCGATGGGACTGTTGAAACTAGATTTATTATGGAAATTCAGCAAGGAGGAGGAGTGTGCTTTGAGCATGACGGTTTTACAACAGAGCCTTTTGCAATGGATTGATTCTTTTGAATTTCGCGCAAAGCTACACGAGGACTATCTGCGCTAGTCATCCCTAATTTAGCAGTGTAAGACTAGAGGAAAGGCAGTCACCACCCACCGCCAACTCTTGGGCTACTGTTTTACCAACAAGTAGTGGGATTGACCGTCACATTATAACGCCCCCACGGCTGAAGGAGCGAGCATGTTTGGTGGGACGGGGAATTGAACTCGCAACCCTCAGATTGCAAGTCAAGCGCCATAACCATTTTTTGCAATGGAATCTATACTGAAAGCATATTGGCAAGATACACTGTAGTCAGATAGAGCATGAATGGACGTACAGACATGGATTATAGCTGCAACGTGAGGCTCCAAAATTGTTTTAATATAACGTACTCCACCTCCGTATCATTTGGTCCATCTAGGCTATTCCATTTTCTACTGACAACCTACTTCAGGCTACACATAAATTTTTCAAGTACACCTGTAATTTCATCTTAAACTCATACAGTATATTATCTCATACCACACTTTAAAACAAACTATTCTGGCAAAGGGCGACCGACCACCCTATTAAAAAGTAGGTCTAACACTGCCTTATCTGGAGTCAAGTCTGAGTATTAGATATCTTAATATAATATACGGCCAACATGAGGTCACAAGGCTGTCTTTGTACACACAAACCCATGATAAAGAAAAGTAAAAAATATACCCACCCTTATTTTTCAGAAAATAATCAATTTATTCTCTTAAACTCTTATAAGATACCAGCCTCCAATACTATTAATGGCACCTGATTTCATAAGTTAATCAATCTGTCCTAGAGTATTTTTCTAAATCTTAATTGAAATTTTGTCCATTCGTTTTATTGTTTTCGGAATTCGACACAGAAAAATCAGAAGCTATTATTAATCTCTCGGATAATCTAGTAAATTTCAATAAGATTACCTCTTACCCGTTGTTACGACAGCGGAATTCACGTGACGCTGGTAACACGTAATGAGTATCTAGAACATGTTTGCCAGACGCCCTCTATTTTGTACATATAAGACCGTCAAGAAGTGACGGCATAGAGAATAATTGGATAGCAGATAGAGAGATATAGAGACAGATAATTGAGTCAAGTGAGCGGTAGTGACTGTAAGTAAAGTGCATGAATCGTTGTGAATTATAGCGTGTGTTCAAGTTAAAGTGACTGTGGAAATTAAGTGTTTTGCAAAGTTGTATTGAGAAAGAATAAACTAGTTTTATTTAAGAAAAGACTTGTATCGCTGAAGTTTTTCGGAAGGAATTTTTACGGGAAATTAACAAACGACCAGAGACGTAACACCGTCTTTTTCAAGAGACAGGAAGATCAGATATGTTAATCTATATTCATAAGGCAAGGCTTCCACCCTAAAAATCATTCTACTGAGTAGTCCTCCTTCAAACCCTTTCCAATAAGTCAGTACCTTTTTTTAAATAATCAGACTACGTCTGTACTGGCAGTACTCCAATCGCGGCCTAACTAGTAATTTGAATAAAAACATAACAACCTCTTTTTGTAACATATAATCAATACCTATATTTAAAAATGTATTGTGATGTAAATATTGGTTGCATTTACTTTGAGTACTTACTACACTAGAATACGGGGTTTAATTTTGGAAAGAGCGCATATAGCTTATTGTGTAGCTTTGCACTAAAACAGACAATCAAACAATCTGTAATTACAGTCAGTGTTGCTACACGCTTCTCACAAAATCTCGCTAATTATTCAGTCAGTGTTGCTACACGCTTCTCACAAAATATCGCTAATTATTCAGTCAGTGTTGCTACACGCTTCTCACAAAATCTCGCTAATTATTCAGTCAGTGTTGCTACACGCTTCTCACAAAATATCGCTAATTATTCTTTTTTTTACCCCCCGGCTAGACAGCGATAGTGTCTTCGGATTTACAACACTAAAATCAGGGGTTCTATTCCCCTCGGTGGACACACCAGGTAGCCCACTGTGGCTTTGCTATAAGAAAACACACACATGCTCCTTTGTTTTGGAGTGAACATGCACTTAACATGGAAACATTATTTCTCTTAAAGTTTCGTACTTGGATATAGGATATTAATAAATAATTTTAACTTGTTTAGTCTTAACAAGTTATATTTGCTTTTTTTCACTCATCTTACACTTAGCCTTAGGCTGCTCTCGGACTTATCTTGTCTAATGAAGAGAGTGTACAGAGATAATAGTAAATATGACTATCCCTGAATCCCTGCTTTCCACTAAAAGATCGGATATAATTTCGGACAAAGTGCATTTCCTGGGCATATATACCATGTTCTACCTAAATACAGTGTCATATACTATCAAATACCTAAATAACTTTTTTTTTCATTCAAATATATCGTGACGAGGGTTCACTGTATACCAAAAGTCCCATAAAATACATCTCAATACATTTACAAGCAAAATAAATCCCTAATTTCTCTCTTCAAATTTCACCCCTGTTTTATACCCTACAGTGAGTTGTCTCCTATATATGGGGAATTTTTCCATAATCTTTCAACACTGGTAGCGGTAGTAGTAATTAGCAGTTTGGTGATAATTAATAGGAGACTTTAGTGTTAAACTTATATACAATTTAATTGATAAACTAATAAATAGCTTGATTTTAATTGAATTTAGAAATTGACTAGCTAGATTGATAATATTAATAGAATTAAGACTAACGTTAACATACTGTTACTATCTGGTCGTTTGTTAATTTCCGGTATAAATTCTTTCCGATGAACTTCAGCAATACAAATCTTTTCTTAATTAAAACTAGTTCATTCTATCTCGATACAGCTTTGTATTACACAGAATTTCCAGTCAGTCACTTTAAACTTAACAACCTTTACAACACACGCTATAAATTGCAGTGATTCGTTTGACTCAATTATCTATCTCTTCAATCTATCTGCCCGATTGCGCTGGTTTTTCTCGCCAGGCTTATATACTAGAAAAGAGGGCGCCTCGAAC